GCTGAGCTACCGAGGGCATTCCGGGGATGGCGTTGGCTTTCTCGCCCGTCAAAGTAAGCCTTTGACTGACTGAACCGATTCATCTGTGGAGTGGCCGGGGCCGATTGATTTGCAAGCAGACTCGGTGGAGTGGTTGAATTACTCCGCCGTCTAACGCCTGGTTTGCGCTTTTCCAAGTGATATGATTCACTTTTCTCATTAGACTGTATCAGCTTGCCGGCCATGTCCCTGACCAAAATTGCTGGGTCATGTTCAAGCTCTCGAATTGCGTCCAGGAGACCATATCTGGCAAGAAGGCCACCCTGCTCCTCGCTGGAATCGCAGATACTCGATATAATGCGCAGCATGTTGAGCCGTACCGCAGCTTTGTTGTGGCGTAGTTTCTGTCCAATCTTGGTGAATATGTCGGGTCTTGCGAAAGTCGATGCAATCGGCGGGCTTAGCCTGAGAAGTTTCTGGAGTGGCTCGAGGAGATTCTCAAAAGCGTTTGCCTTGGAGACAGTCAAACACCTGACAATAGAGTCTGTAAATGAAACTCGTTCATAACGGTTATCAAGGAGATGCTCCTCGACCTTAGCAGTTTCTTCTTTAAGCCTGTAATCGCGCGGTTAGCCTATGGTAGATGCTATCGGAATCGAGTACTGACCAGTTGACAATAGCATCCAGAGCGGTAACTTGCCAGTACGGGTCTGATAGAAGAGAGATGTAGAATGCAAGCCCTTTGTTACGCCACAGTTCACGACGACCGACCTTCCCAGAATGCGCCATGTCACAGAGAATAGGCAAGGCAAACTCCTTCAGAGGCCGCTCTGTTTTCACAATTTTCTGAAGAAGAGGTATGATGCCATTCAAAGCTGCATCTTCTTGTCGAGACTTATTCAGGCGACACATATTGTAGATAGTGTTGAGGATTTGGTTGGAAACCTCCCGGAAGTGTGGGCGTTTGATGGTAGACCGTAACAAGTCTGTAAGAACATCGATTGCATTGGAGTTCTGAAGCGCGTCAAGTGTTGTGGAAAGCATTGACAAGTTCTTAATGAACTTCAGCATAGTAATTTGGTGTGGCGGTGTCATCCGTCTTAATTCCTTCAAGACTCCTAATCCGAGAGTCAGTGATTGTCTCGAGTATGAAGCTGTGTTCTGGCTCCCTTACTATGCAGTACCGTTCGCTCTGCCACCATTTCCTTCACATGGTTTTCGGCCTGCGAGAATATGAAGAAGATGTTTGCAATCCGACCCTCGACGATCTCGGCCAATTCGCCTTCTTCATCCAGCACGCGACTGAGAACGAGTGATAAGGGATCCAAGACAGAATTGCGTGACAATATTCTACAAAAGTCATTCTTTGGCGTAGAACCCTGTTTCTCGTTAGATCTTGCCTGGCGAGTTTATCAGCGCAAGTCGGTACTTACCTGCAACTCAAAGACACTCCAAATTCCGTTGACGCCAATAAGGACCAAGTCACGCTCGTCCTCATAGTCATCTTCCAAGAACTCAACTAAAACATTGAGACCACCCGCACTGACGAACATTTGCAGGGTAAGAGTTGAAGTTTGGTACATTTGCTGCACAAAGGCTGCCGCTTCGAGACGAATCTCTCTCGGGTATTTCTTGGCGGCGAACTCATTGATGATGGGAATTCCGCCCACGAAGCAAAGATTCTCTTGGATGTCGTAGTCATTGAAGATGATCGCATTAACAATGCGCAATAGGCAGAGTATAATGTCACGCCGACGGCATATGTCCAGTATCTCCAAGATCGGCAGCATTCCATGAGCGCTAATAATGATGTTCTTCGTTTCAGGTAGGTCACAGAACACAGTCAACAATTGTTCGGAGATTTCCCCCAGTACGTCCTCATCCTGGGACGTTTTCAAGGAGCTCACGAGACCTTCAACCTGGCTCTTAAGACGTGCATACTTGTCGCGTGCGATGTTAGCCTCCAAGTCCGTTTCATCAAGTCCCTCTTCGAGTTGTGCGAAAGGATCATCTTCGTCATCCTGATCTCCAAGCCACGAGTTGTTAGACAATTTGGAATTGAGTCTCAACGTGCTTTGGTTTGAGTTGTTCTCGCTCTCCGGCCTGTCTAGAGCAACCTCATCGGCACCTAGGATATCAGAGAAATCTTCGTCGCGCTCGTTCTCAGCATATCGCTGGATTTCAAAGTCGGAGCGGGTGCGTTTGACAGATATCCGCTTTCGAAGTTGTGGTTCATGATCTTCATTGCGTTCTGGCGATTCTTGATATCGAACCAGTTCTTTGGATGGCGAGACTGGCGTATCGGTTTCTTCGTCGGTCTCCTATAATCCGGTCAGTACTTGGGGAAAGCGATAAGGCACGACATGCTTACTTGAAAGGCGCTAAGTTTGTGGTCTAGAACATCCTCATTAGCATTGATGAGGTCGGAATAATCCTCAACTGAGTTCTCTTTGAAGAAGGAAGTCGGTCTCTGTGGTTTAAGTGGCGGCACCGGGGTTTTGAGAATTGGCACATTGTGGTGAATGGCAGCTATGGTGGTCTTGGGCTGACTCGGTGTGCTCTCCACTCCTGCTTGCTGCAAAGGATAAGGACGGATGGTTTGCAGGGAGTCTGCTTCGGGGAACCCATTCAGGGAAGAATCATCGAAATCCGAAATGGCGTCATCTGGCTTGAGCACTGTTCCATCGAGAGATGCGAATGCTTTCAGCTTTTCAGATGACAACATGCCCCCAAAGTTATCTTGCGGTCGAAGATGAGGCAGCTGTAACGCGCTTGGGGATATTGCTGTCGCGAAGTCATCATCCCAGTTGTCCTCCTCAGTAGACTCGGGGGATTGATATCGATTAACATGCTTTGAGACCGGACTTGGGAGAGTGTCTGTCGTTGGTGCATACCGAGACGGGCCCAGATCTGGGCGGAACGATGCAGAGCCCTGTGTGTCGAACCTGAAAGGCTTGCGCAGCGTCCCCATTTCGGGAGAACGAAGAGCTTCGTTCCATTCTTGCACACTCTTCACAGCTTCCTCGTATTCGGTCGACTTCTTGGGAACCACTGAGTCGGTTCTGCGAGCATTGACAATCCAGGGGTGCTTGAGAAGTTTTCTTGCCGATACACGAAGGTTGGGATCTTTTTGAAAGCACTGCATCAAGAAGTCCTTGACAGCCTGCGAATTTTCTCAGCACTGGGCACATGAAACGAAGGAAGTGGGAGAAAATGCTACTGACCGGCGAGGCTCCTTGTGGGAGAGGTGGGTGATCATCATTGACAATGCGGAATAAAGCTGGCATTGGCTGAAGATTATAGTATGGCGGCTTTCCTTCTAGAAGCTCAATGACAGTGCACCCAAGACTCCAGATATCAGACGAAGTGGTTGCACCCGAGAGCTCTATAACTTCAGGAGCCATCCAGTACGGCGTGCCAACCACGCTGGATTCACTAAGCCCCGTCGTTCGACTGGCGACACCGAAATCTGCAAGCTTGACGAGGCCCTCTTTAGTGGTGAGGATATTGGCTCCTTTGATATCCCTATGGATGACACCTTGTTCATGCAAGTACAAAAGGCCGTGCAGCACTTGTGACATGTACAGGCCAACCAAATTCTCAGGAAAGCGACCAAAATTCTTCGCAATGGAATGCAAAGAACCATTCTCACAATACCTGAAATGATTAGCGATCTAATTCGCTCATAATTAGAACACATCCAGTACTCAAGTATGATGTTCAGAGTCTCTGCGGATTTCACAAAGCCTTGATATTTTACAATGTTAGGATGCTGCAGTTGTATGTCAGCGTCATCTCAACTTTGAATGGAGATTGCTGAAGTCAGCGTCATATCTTACATCCAAGTTCTTCAAGAGATCAATTTCCAACTGCGACCTTCGGAGTCAGCGACGATCGTGTGGATGGTGAAGTAGCACTTTATTTTACCATGATGACCCGCAATTCGCTCTTCGGTAAATCTGCCAACTTAATCTGCTTGACAGCAACGGTCTCTCCTGTGTTCCAATTGAGGGCTCTATACACCGAGCCAAACGCGCCTCTGCCTAGGCAGTCACCCAATTGCTTTGTTGCCACGGGTGTTAGCTTACAGTGTCTCAGTAAGACAAGAGGGCTGGCACCATACAAAATCCTTGAGCTCAGCAACATCTTTCGCCGATGATTTGATCATCCTGCTGTCTTTCCCTTTGTCTTCTCGTTTGGTCGGGCTGGACCCCAGTCTCGTCAGTCGTGATTTGGCCGGAGTGCCTGGTGTTTTGGACGGTGGAGGTGGCCCCTCACTCGGTTCGGATGATCGAGAAACCATTGTCCAAGGGTAATCAGATCTGGTGTCTTATCACTGCTCTGGGTCCACTGATATCCAACAAGATGTCTCAAACAAAAGCGATCGCTCAAACGACAAATAATCCGAAGAAGGCCGATGCCAGAAAATCGATCGGATTATTCATGTCAGCACAATCTGAGGTCTAGTCGCATTGTAAGTGTCAGTCAAGATCACAGATTGCTGCAGAAGACTGCTACAGACGATAGCAAGCACTAGTATCGAGACTATATGGCAGGATTGTCGTTAAACAAGAAAAAATCAACATACTGGAAGGGTACCTGTTATCGTCTTCACAAGAGCCGCGTCTGTCAAGCGCGCCGCTGAACATTAGAGGCTGGGCTCTTGAGTTAAAGGAAAGACTCAGATTATCAGCTCTGCTGCAAGGTAATCGAGCACGCTAACCAAGCAAAAAGACAGAAAAAGAAAAAAAGAGCAAACGAGCACTTCCTGTTGTGCTTGCCGGGGCAAACGCAGGGACGCTCGGCGGGTGTTTTGAACTTTCCCTTTCTCCACAGCACCACTTGGCTTGGGCCATGACGCAGCGCCCGGCCGCTGCTGTATCTCCGATCGACCTTATCAGAGCCAAAGCGGAGTCTGTCTGGGGGGGCTGCCTCTAATTTAGTTGATTAAGCAGCTAGACAATAATACACAATTTTTGCACTGCATTCTTTGTCATTCCAGACCATAAGTTAGTTTCAGTGGCTGACTACACACGTGCCTTCATTAATAATTGGGTATGCTCAAGAGGATTTGCACGAAAGGGTCGAGATAAGCTAGTAAGATGCTAGAGTGGGTATCCTATAAACACAAATTTGCCGCGACTCGTGATGTGTCACGACGACTTTTGTGCTTCTCGAAGAAGACGCAAAACATCAGACGCAAGGTAGAGACTGCCAGCAATGACCAATGGGCCGCCGTTAGCTTCGTGACAGGCCCACTCGATTGCAGCAGAGACATCGCAGCCAAATGTCTGCACTAGGCCGGTCTCTGAGATAGACTGCGCACATGAAGCCACTTCCTCAGTATCAGCCGGTTTCACCCAGGGCATCCCGTCGACAGGACCAAATGCTGTCACTGCGACTTTGTCACCAGTCCGAATGATGTTTTGAAATAGAGAGGATAGATCTTTTCCCTTTGAAGCTGCGATAACCCAAGTAACACTGTCATGCTCTGTACGTAGCTTCCGATCCACATACTGCCCAAGCACTTCCGCCGATTGAGCGTTGTGCGCGCCGTCAAGTAAGACGGGCTCTTCCCGGCTCACCAAAGGGCCCAGTGTGATCTTCTGTAAGCGGCCTGGCCACACCACGCTCGACAATTGTGGAAGAAGCATATCGACGTTAATTTCCGGACGGAATCGATCCAGTGCCAGCTTAAGTGCAGACACTGCGCAAGACATGTTGGCTTGTTGATGAGGCTGCAAGTCGAGCGTCGCGAATAGGCGGCCAAGTAATGGTGGCTGGGTTTCTGGGCGGACAAAGTTCGATTCAATCCCCAGCTCCCTGATGCGTTTTTCCAGTGTTCTAGTTACTTCAATCGAGTTCGTGCCGTCCACCACACATGGCACTCCAACCTTCAATATGCCCGCTTTCTCGCGTGTAATCTGCTCGATGGTATCTCCGAGTAGGGACTGATGGTCAAGTCCGATTTTCGCAATAACAGACACTAAGACATCGCTCAAGATATTCGTTGCGTCTAACCGGCCGCCCATGCCAACTTCAACTACGCCGATATCGACTCGTTCATGGTTGAAGATCTCGAAGGCCGTTGCAGTCAAGAGCTCAAAATCGCTTGCACCGATGCCGAGGGTTTGGTCTCGAAGCTTGACTCTAGCTTCGATTTGTCGAAAAAGTGATTCTTGAACAACATCCTCGCCGATTGTGATGCAATCCCATCGGTCGATTAGATGGGGGGAGGTGAAGCGACCACAGCGCACTCCGCCGGCAGACAACAGGTGAGATAGGTAGGCACTGATGGAACCTTTGCCGTTAGTTCCAGCAATATGAATGGCCTTCCATGACAGCGGAGTCTGCTGGAGGAGGCGGGATATCCGACTTAAGCCGAGCTCTATCATCCCTCAATGCACACACTGATATATAGCTGAGGAGGTGTCAAGGCTCATGTCCAGCAAGCAAGGACAGAGGCAGTTGACATGGGGAAGGTGTAGTTATCAGTTGAACCCGTCCGGTGCTCTCAACGGGAAAGTCAGCAGCTGTCGGCAAGATAATCGGAAATCGGGAAAGTGCCCGATAAGAGTTCGATGCCTTAGGCGACAACTATGCAACCCCACCACATTAACCTGCAAAATGGTACAATATGTTGCAGTAGCAGCGCAGTATCACTTCGACCCTTACTTCAGTGCAGTAGTCATTTATCACCCGACACGTACTCCTAGTGAAGGGTTTTTGTACTTTACTGTTTGTTTGTCCTATCCAACATCTCCGGGCCGCGGTAAACCTCAGGTCTCCCTCCATGACAAGCGTAACTACGGAGTACATACACGCGAGTCCATAGTACTCAGTAGCACAATAGCCGCCGTACTGGAATATACGCGTGTGGCGATGGCGCCACACACAAGTTGTCCAGCCGCCGTTCCAACAACAAACCATTTAACAAAAAAAAAAAAAAAGGCACTGAACAACCCGAGGCGCTACGGCAGGCCTCAGGCGCCAATATCGTTGCCTCCGCTTTTTTCCTTTACGAGGAAAACCAAATCTCGCCGTTTCTCCATCGACATTCGTCTTGGTCGTTGCTCCCCGCAATCTCCGTGCTACTGTGCTTACTATTAGTCTTCTGCGTCAATCTCCCTTTGCTTCTGAATGTGATAGCTTTTCATCAATCTTCAATCGTTCTAAACGTGACTTTTTCTCCGATCCTTCTTCGCATTTACTGTAACCATGGGTATTCCGTGAGTATCTATCTCCCCAGTTGGCCGTCAATACTTGACGCGCACTGCTCCATTAGGCTAAAGCGCCCGGGACAATTGTCTTGACTGACTGGTAATGATATAGGATGTTCCGGGAGCCTTCCCCGACCGAAGACACGAGAAACCACGCTGCCAAAGATAGCTGCGCTGCCGCACGCTCTGCGATTCGTCGTCAGGTCAGCGTTCGCCGCCCTTCGCGCTATGGCTCTGTCCTGCGCAATGCAACTTTACGAACAATTTCCCCACGAACCCTGACAGAGGAGATTGAGCGCGAGCGGGAACGCGAGCGCGACTCGAATAACTTACAGCGCCATGGTCGCTCGCCTATCATCCCTCGGGCGCTGGCGTTAGCAGACGAGGTCGAACGCGCACGCGAGCGCGAGGCGAACGGCATACAGCGTCATGTTCGCTCGCCTCTTTCGAATGCTGCTGCCGCCGAAGATCCGTTCAACCTCACCAGTGGATTTCTAGACCCCCTACGAGCTCGGAACGCACGCCGCAATGAACAGCGGCGGCTCGATAACGCTCTTCAGCAGGGCCGCTCGGGTCAACAACGCCTGAGGATACCGCGCAATTCGATCATGTCCGACTTTCAGCGCCCCGCTTCTCCCGGTCTAGATACCAACAACAGGCAGGATCAGGATCACCCTCAATTCACGCCTCGCTTTGCCCCTGCAGTCGCATACCACGGGAGCGCTTCTCCACATGCGCGACGAGATGCTCTCCACCTGTCGCCCTTCCCCCTGCCTGATGGCCTGGGCCCAGATTTGTCTGCGACACTTGCTTTCCCTTCCTTGCGGCGTGTTGGTCAGCGGTCCATCAATGATGCCAGTCGTTCAAATCAGGACTCACTTATAGACGGTCTAGGCGATCGCCAAAGGAGCCTCAGCCCTGATGATGACCACGCCAACGATGCATGGGAAACACTTTTGACAACGATCACGCCTGACACAAATCTCCCAAGCGCTGATTCATCATTCAATTCAACATCAGCGCCCGAAACGAATGTTCCTGTCAACGGAGCAATGAGGAGCACCGCTGCCGGAATGCGGCCCGTTTCAAACTCAACGTACTCGGGTCCTGGCACAATGGAGATAGTTCTTGATCCATATCCAGAATACTTGAATCCATGTGACTTCCCGCCGAGTGCTACCGATTCCGAAAGCGACTCAGAATCTGAGACTTCGCATTCCCTGATTCGGCGCTACCGTGCTGTTCGTCAACTTGAGTCTTTGAGGCGAGCTGTGGACTTTCAAGGGGCCATGATACGCTCCCAGGGGACCGCAAGACGAGCACCCGAAGTTCAGTCAACTATGAGTAGCCAACCTCCGATACCCACTGTGTCGTTTGCCTTTTCCGATTCTTCTACCGACCAAGACTTGCATCAGGTTCAGGCCGTGCTGGACCGTCTCACAAGCCGGCAGGACCTTTCTGACGATTTTTGGGCGTCCGTTGGATTGTCTCGCACTTTCGGTCCGCGTGAAAATGACGAGCCAAACGAGGAGCCAAACGTCGCCGACACAATCGACGGACCGATTAGTCGTAGCTAAACAGCAGCCCCCTTCATTAGTATTTTCCCCATCTGTTTTATTTTGGTTGTGGAACTTTGATAGACGATATCTGTTATGCTTCACTCAAGATACCGGGCAACGCGCAGACTTCAATGGTTGAGTTTCTCTTTAGCGGGGATGATGTTTTGCTGGGCGTTAGCGGTGTGTTCTGATACTCTTCCATCAAGGGCGGCGGGCACCACCTGATACGGAAATAATCTTCTCCATACATACTTGTTTTGTTTTCTCTGTTCTGATAACTCAGATACCAGGTCCTATTGATGTACTCCCAATTGCTAAAAGTCCATGTATGTCCTAAGAAGATTTTATAACCATAATTATCAACAATTCGCCTGCTTAGAGAATCAGTACGCCGCCCTGAAGTTTCAGGCAAGCATCCTAGATTTTGATTCCTCCCTCTTTGAGATGCGTGTGATGATTGAATTATAACTACGACAGGACATGCTCTCAGGTAGATATAAACTAATAACCTTCACGGTACTCCATACGCGGTTGCTGCTCCCCTGTGACGTGACGTATCATTACTCCGGAGTAAAGGGGATAGTAGCGAGCCCCCACTCTGACGACAAGCCCCGCAGACTTATTTATCTCAATGAATCGCCGAGCTTCCACCGCTCACGCAGACCTTCATCATCCAGCTCGCTCTCGCATTATATTGTACAGCTACCAGAATCCCAATACAGTCACTTCGAGCCCCTAAGATCGCACTTGGGACCTCTACAGTACACTCCTTAAGACAATCTTAATCTGCGACCACACAATCCTCGGCGCAAACAAACAGTTCCAACCTTTGCATGGACGGGACCGCGGTTATCGGTGCATTGTCCCAATAATCCAATCTGGTCAGATTCTCGTGTGTGTTATCTCCTGGTCCACAGATTCTATTCCATCATGGAACAACAAGTCGATCGATTAGTCGACAAGATCTGGAGTGAGTGTTACACCCCCGGAATCCCTCCCCATGCGGACGAACAAGCGGTGTCTTTTTGTGTCCGACGAGCCCCAGAATCCTCCTCGGTAGCTAATGCCTCGAGCCACAGACAAATTTCAGTCCACACCGGATGATGCCCGACTATTGATCGCCGTCAGTGGGATTCCCGGGTCCGGCAAGACGGAGCTGGCTACGATGATGGCCAACCGCATCAATCAACGATACTCCGCGCAACATCCCGACTCACCGCTTATCGCAACCACCGTCCCGATGGACGGCTATCACCTCACACGCGCTCAGCTAGCCGCCATGCCTGATCCCGCATACGCGGCTGCCCGCCGTGGCGCCGCGTTCACCTTCGACGGGGAGAAATTCCTCAAGCTCGTGCAGGCGCTGCGGGAAGAGGTTACCCCCCAGACACGAAGTCTGTACGCTCCGAGCTTTGACCACGCGGTCAAGGATCCCGTGGATGACGACATCACTATCCCGGCCACCTGCCGGGTGATCTTCTTCGAGGGCAACTACCTCAGTCTGGATAAGGCGCCGTGGAGCACGGCGGCGGAACTGATGGATGAGCTTTGGTTTGTGGAGGTCGACTTCGAGGTCGCTCGGAGGAGGTTGATTCGACGACACGTCAAGGCGGGCATCGCGAAGGACGAAGCCGATGCAGATAAACGAGTAACGGAGAACGACTTGGTCAATGGGAAGGAGATCGTGGATTGCAGGATGGATTTGCAGGAAATCATTAATAGTGAATTTGACCCTGCGTGGGAGAGGTAGAGCAAGGGGTTTTTGAAGGGCATAGAACCATGATCACCGGATTGATTAGAGGCTTATGAACTGTCCTAATCTCATATGGTGATTTGCATCACTAGATGAAAGCTTCATATACATACTTTGCTTTTTCTCTGATGTTTGCGCCATCGCGGGGTGTTGATCTCCCGTTGTCTTTTCCGATAGACTAGCTACGAATGCATTCACTGATGATTTGGTTACTTGAGCTCTGCTAGGCCCCATGAAAGGATATATTGTGACCTAGAGCTTGCTCCATGCTTGCTTTTATTTCCAAAAAAGCTCGGCGTGATTAGCCATAGCACGTGCGAAACAGGGACGTATATTGTGCCCACTAGAAGAGGTTCGTCAAAGGGCTGTGCTTGAGCCTCATCGACAATACCGTAATGTCACTGTGTTCGGTTGATTCACAGGATAGTTTCGTAGCTCAGACCAGAGCAAATCGCGGATACAAGACATGTAACAGTTTGATTGGCCCATATAACCCGAAAACAAGTACAAAAAGAATTACCTTTGCTCTGAGACTATATATAGAGGGCTTTACAACAGGTTAATTATGACTCAGCAGGAGGCAGTTAGAGTTGCTGTGAGATATGTATGTGGCGACTACGTCGCGTCAACCGGACGTTTTCTCAATCAACTTTACATCATTTCACTATCGACTCTGAGCTCTCGAGCACTGGATTCAAGTCTCTATTGGGCAGAGGTTTCTCAAAGAACAGACTAAGCCAAGAGTGAGTCGGGGAATGGCAGCACAAAGGAGGGCCAAATGCGGGAGTATAGGTTCTGAACTTATACACGGAGGGTATACTCTATTCAAGATACTGAGCACTGTGACAATGCTACAGACTTTAGCTACTTACTCCGAGTCGACTCATCCTGTGCGCACGAAGTAACGAGGAAAGCTTGGACTATCCTCCCCCAACAGCATAGTGCCTAGCTTGCCTAACATTATGATAA